ATATATATAAAACTCTTACATCGTGTGAAGATATAAAAATACCTTAAAATATGGTTTAAGATATGAGAGTGGAATACATACATACGTATCTATCGGTCTCTGGGTGTAAATGGGTAGAAAAGAATTTGATAGATAACGAGGCTTACGATGCTAAAAACCGGGTTTAGATACTTGTTATTGTCAGAGCACAGATTGCCTATTGTGTAGCTTTGTGCTTATTTTATTTTTTGTTAATGGGAAGGAGCAGTTTATCACGTGATTGAGGTTCAGAGATGGCGTAAATAAGCTGCTCATCTGAACATCAACCACCTGTGTAATTGATAAGAGTTGGTCGAGGTGTTTAAACCATTTCATCAACGATCGAGATACGACTATAACGATGCCAGTTTGTTAGAAATTACGGTTTTTATAATATCTGCTTAGTTTAATTAGACAACTGAACTACAGGGTTAATCCCCCAACAGCTCCTAGCTAGTAAAACACTTTTTAACAACACAAACTACAACAACTGTAGATGGAGACCTCCACATCCTTATTTGAAGTAGACAGTGGCAATGATTTTTGTTTAGTAATTGTATGGAAGATGTGGGGGGGGGGAGTGATGGTTTTTTTTTTTTCTAATATGAGTTTTTAAATTGTTATTTCAAAATACAGTTTGATTTGCTGTAACACGAACTCCACTCGCCCCTACATTGCTTCTAATGTTGGTATTTATCTGCACTCGCGAACCTATTATATAATTTATCATTATGGATCAGCTGTGTATTATTAAGCCTAGAAAAACGGAGGCAACTGATGCCGAATAGCTCGTGTTTTAATACACTGGTTCCTATACACTATTGTTATTAACGTAACAACATATTATTTTTCATATACCGAGAGATTCGTGTGAATCGGATAGCTTAATTATATGACCTTCATTATCTTGGTTACACAAGAGAGTAAATATATCTTTATTCATCTTAGGGACCCGGCATGGCCTGGTGGTTAGGGCGCTCGACTCTCAATCTGATGGGTGGCGGATTCGAATCCCCGTCACCAAACCTGCTCGCCCTTTCTGCCTTGAAAGCGCTATAATGTGACGGTCAATCCACTTTTTCGTTGGTAAAAGAGTAGCCCAAGAGTTGGCGGTGAGTGGTGTTGATTAGCAGCCGTCCTTCTAGACTATCACTGCTAAATTAGGGACGACTAGCGCAGATCGCCCTCGTGTAGCTTTGCACAAAATTCAAAACAAGCCAATTAATATTAGGTCAGAGTATTGTTACCAGCTCGGCAACTTTCTTCAGAATATTTATTGTATTCATAACAACTTTTGCACCTAAATTCTCCATTTATTGATTATAATTGTTACCTATTCTACAGAACGCTAATGCTATTTCTTGCATTCACGTGCAGCTGGTAGGTATGTTGTAACTGAAAACACTTCCTCAAATTTCTCACTGCCAATTTTAGTCCTAGTTTTATATTCCGACATTCAATAAAAAAAAATATATACAAATGTTTTAATATTTCATTACTTACCTGTAACTTTAAACTGGTAAACTTTGGAATTTTTGGAGGGGAATACTCTCTATTCGCGGTGCTACAAAATTCCAACTTCGCAAGACGAAGAAAAGCTATAGGAAGAAAAGTTCAATGGTAGCTCCAGAAACGTTTAACCTAAATAATCCAGTTTTTATATTCCGCTGCTCTCCCATTATTTCACTAACGCCTGGAGTCGTTGTTGTTGTCAAATTTATTATCGCGTTGTCTTTCTCGCGTTGTCCAATCAGAACTGAATTTTTAAATAATTTTTTTTTCTTTAATGATGAATATCACGTTGTTGAATGTGATAAAACTATTTCCAAACACAAATATTTATCTAACTACATTGCATGCTCCTTTTAATCAAATCTGTTTGTATGAAAATTTTTCAAACAAGACTATACACTCAGCATTTTCTAGGCGAAACCTACCCACAATTCGTAGCGACACTAGCATTTCTGATTTAACAAGTTTTTAAGATAAAGTGTATTAAAGCTTTAATGGAGACACTAGAGGGCGTCAGAATGAAAGTACTGGATTGTTCGTGTTAATAAACTGTTGATTTAAGTAGATTGGGTGGACTGATAGTGTAGACCGTGTTGTCATATTATAACTGATTGTAGTGAAGGAAAAGTATCGGCTGAAGTCTTTATCTCGTCATAAAAACAATAACTGAAATCACCTTAAATTACTGTTGGGTTTAGGGATTTAAACGTACGTTAAATGATATTCCCTGGTTCGAATGTAGAGAAGTAACAAACTTGCGTGTTTGTTCTTGAGGTCCAAGGTTTAATATCATTTTATGTGGTTCGTTAAGTTGGCTCTGTTTGTGAGTTCAATATTTTCTCACGTGAAGTTTTTGAGATACGGTTGTCAAGAGAACATAATCCGTAAGAATAAACACGTAAGTGTTCCGAAACGTCACCATAACTTAACATTGAAGGCAACATGTCCTAATTATTTCCTATGTGATCGTTAAAATAAAGTAGTTTTTTTTTTTCGTAAGGGTTCGATGCTTCAAAACTAAAGAGCTTAAAATGGTGACTTTCTTGTACGAAATGTTAGTTGTAGTTTTTTTTTGCACGTCTTTTCCTATCTCGGATCCACCCGTGTTTATGAAATGTGTTCGGTCCATCGGTGCTACTGCGTAACGGAATACTGTAGCGCGCACGCCAGGCCCCAGTACATGTGTTTTCACTGTTAATCTTTGCAGTAGTACAAGATAATCACAATGCTAGGGTAGAATGTTAACATTTGTGACGTGCTAAAGTTTCAACTTTGACACATTTGGCCTAGGTTCATTTTCACTTTAGTGTCTTGTTTGTGATTCAACGTATCATGTTTACATAGTTTATGTAAATAACATGTAATAACTGCTAAAAGGGGGCGTAACCACAGTAAAGTGAAACAAGCACAATTTACGTACAGTTTAAGCCTAAAACTCCTAGCCAAATATTACACAAAGTAGAGCTTAATGTCAAAACTTCAACTAGTTGAGTGTTAAACTTTAATTACGTAAATTTCTTTTTCTATTTTCGCGTGTTTTATAGCGTTATTTCGAAAACACGGCCCCCACAATTTCAATTTCTTTGCGTGTTTTTTCTTGGATTACAAATATTCGGGAAAAGGTAAAAGTTATTTATTACAAATTCTTGCATCTGCGAGAGAGAGAGAGAGGAAATAAACAGGGTGTCTTGATCCCAGATAAACTGGATTTACTGTTATCAAATAATTATTGATCAATCCAAAAGTTAATTAGTACTCTTTCTCTGATAAATATCTCTATTTTTCCAATGTAACTAATTTAAGTTCCAATGAATCAACAATTTTATTTTTTTCCAGTGATTTTAATGTGAATAGATTTAATGTCGCACCGGGAGAGAGTAGTTCGTATAGTTGTGTATGCGCATGCGTTCGCCTCAAAATCACCGGCTATGTTATGTACTATAAACGACGAACATTGGTACTTTTTACCGCGAACCGTTCATACCATTGGGGGCGCTAATCGATAATACAAGCGAGAGGCAGAGCAGTGTGTTTCGTATTTGGTTACTATAGCAACAATTACGTCAGCAAGTTAGCTGTTCATGGTCTAGTTGATTTCACAGTAGATGTACACCAGCTTACGTTATGTATATATTCTTATTGCTTCAGTTGGAGTTTTGTGTTCAGAAATTTTT